TTTTAAATCCTAGATCTACCAAAGAAAAGATAAAGGACCTGGACTTGGGAAGTGGGAGTTGGGTGGTTGAGATTATCAGAGATAGAGGCCATGGCACGCATGAAGGCCAAAATTGTGACTGCGGAAACCAAAATTCAAACTTTTTAAATCCTAGATCTACCAAAGAAAAGATAAAGGACCTGGACTTGGGAAGTGGGAGTTGGGTGGTTGAGATTATCAGAGATAGAGGCCATGGCACGCATGAAGGCCAAAATTGTGACTGCGGAAACCAAAATTCAAACTTTTTAAATCCTAGATCTACCAAAGAAAAGATAAAGGACCTGGACTTGGGAAGTGGGAGTTGGGTGGTTGAGATTATCAGAGATAGAGGCCATGGCATGCATGAAGGCCAAAATTGTGACTGCGGAGGTTAGCAAAGCATTGGCTTTGTACCCAGATTTCCAAGTGGGACTGGGAGGAGAGTAACTTGTAGCTGATTAAGTTGTCGTGGTGTGAGGAAGGGGGTGAGTAGATGTAGCTTGGAAGAAGAATTGACGTGAAGAAGGTGAAGAGAATGAGGACGATGAAGGGGGAGAGAATGTGAGAGTTTTTGGGGTGGAAATTTCAAAAAATAATTAATGAGGAAGAAAGATACAGACATTTGGGAGAAGGGGAAAGATGAGGGGTTGGATATTTCCTCATCTTTACTGAAGATTTTGGGGTTTCTCTGGTAAAAGCTGAGGAGGAAGGAATAAAGAAAGGCGCGATTGGAAAAGGCGCGGTAGGACACATGGGCTAAGAGGTAAGTGTAGCGTACCCATTTCTACGTTAAGCTTGCTTTTTCTCTTCAGCCGTTCAGATGACTTTGAATGGCTGAGATTGATCCTCATATAGTGTTCTCATTTTAGTGTTCTCACCTGATCCGAGTTTCTCCTTTTATAGGTGAGAGGGAGTCTTCACTTCTTACAATATTTCAATGTGGGACTCTTGGCCTTGCTTAGAATTGCTTCTAGTTGCTTGGTCGAATATGGTATAAACAACGCTTGCTGTTTAGAACTGAAAACCGATTCAGCTCCCAACCTTTTGTTTTGAACTTTGAAGACAACAAGAAGGGCAATACAGACATCTTCTGCAAGAACTTTTAATTAATTATATGTAATGATTGCCAAAAATATTTCTACTTTGAAGGAAGATGTCATTACGCCGCAGAAGATGTTCTTCAATGTTTGCTTCAACTCACCAGACATTGGGGTAATGTTTTTAACTCTTCGGCGCCAAGAGTTCGTGCTAGTCAATTTGTGCCTCGTTTGGAGTTGCAGATGGTTGTGATTGTCATCATCACCCAAACCACCCATCACCTTTTCTTCAAACATTTCAAGATCCCCAGGTTCATCTCGCAAATTGTGGTATGTGCTAGATTTATCAGAAATTATGGGTGTGAATGTAAATTCATGAAACTAAAAAACTTCTATGCTTTTGTTTGTTTAATGAGTGTTTGATGGGATGAACTATAAAATTTTTGTGTTATATAATTTTTTACGATACTTTGTTAGAATAAGAATATAAGATTTTGTGGTGATTTGATGTGAATCTAGACTGGCATACTTCTTGGACCTTCAATCAAGGACAAGTTTGGAACATCATACCAAGCCAAAGAACTCAAAGAATCCCAACTTCCACTCCTCAGTCAAGATGTAGTGGTAGATGGTAACTCTGTTAATGGTGGTGGCAGGGTGAAGGCGGCGATGGTCATGTCAGTGATGGGACAATTTAAAAATTCCGACTTTTGTCCAAACTTGAAGTTTAATTTTGGATAAAGGAAAAAGTAAATTGTTGTTATCATTAATTGTTTCCATTGTCATCATCGTATAAGTGACATAACTTAAGGCTCACATAACCTTAACAAACCACCAAACTAATGTCTGTCATGAAATTACATTTCAAAGTTTCATGTTATTTTGGTCGGCTGACGTGTGCTAGCTTAACCACACTGAATATATATAACATTATAATAGAGACTAAAACCGCAAATACAAATTGCAAGAGAAATTTGTTTCCCAAGCATTGGTTTCAATCATCATTGCTTTAAAAGAATGTAAGCTGAAACCATTATTTTTAGACCAATCCAACAGAAAGCAGTGGTTGCTTGAAAATCCAGCCACCAGAGCAAACATTATTTAAACACTTCGGAGTAACGTTAACATCATCTAGATTTTACCCCATGCTCCCCTGCCCAATCTTTTAAAATGACCACAAATTTACCACTATCATAAACACACTGTGAAACACTTGAGACGCTAATATGTCTTCATTATTTCTCTATTGCTCTCTCTTCGTCTTCTGCTCTACCCTTTTCCATTCCACTGATGGAGTTCTAATTAGGCAATTTGCCAGATCCGATAAAACGGAAAACGTGAGCCATCTCCACTTTTTCTTCCATGACATCCTTAGTGGGAAAAACCCCACCTCTGTTAGAATTATCGGGCCCCCTAACGGCTCGAGTGCCGGATTTGGCAGTACTATGATGATTGATAATGCACTGACTGAAGAGCAAGACCCCAAATCGAAGATCATTGGAAGAGCACAAGGATTTTACTCCATGGCTGCCCAAAATGATATTGCATTACTTATGGTCATGACTCTTGTTTTTGAGGACGGCACGTACAAGGGGAGTACAGTTAGCATTCTTGGGAGGAATCCAGTTCTCAACGATGTGAGAGAGATGCCGATTGTTGGAGGCACGGGGCAGTTCAGGTTCGCTCGCGGTTATGTCTTAGCTCATACTGTTTGGTTTGATGCTAATACAGGAGATGCCACTGTTGAGTACAACGTTTATGTGTCACAATCATGAAATTTCTTCTTAATTTTTCATTTTTAATGTTTGCTATAGAGTCATGTATTGTACTTAGGCCATGGATACAACAATCATCTAGCTAGAAGAATTGGACACTGCAATTTTCTTTTCTGTTATGATGGGGTTTCTGTTATGTTCCAGTACTGCCTAAGCAGAGAAGATTTTTCAGTCTGTATTCACATTGATGTGGAATTTAATTCATATGAATCTTTTAGCCAGAAATAAAATCGGATTCATGGCGGTCTTCTGGAATTGGCTACCTCAATCCTGTAGCTAGAAGAAATGGATATTGAAATTTATTTTCTCTTATGATGGATATGGAGGGATATGAGGAGTGCATGGATTTCTATGTCTCAGCACTGCCTAAACAGGGATAACTTTCGACTCTGTATTCAAAATGTGGAATTTAATGGCTTTGAATCTTTTAACCACAAATAAAATCACATCCCCTACAATCAAACACACGCTGAGGGATTCTTTTTCCCATCACATTGGCAGTTAAAGGTTCTGGACCAACAATCACACAACATATATGTTATATCACATAGAATTTTCATTGAACTGAATTTATATTGACTTAACAATTATGCAATACTACAATCAAATCCAAGTCAGATTAAACTTCTTTGATGGGAGCAAAAATTGATGTACATCAGCTAATACTCAAAACACTACCTGTGGTAGGGAAAAAGTACCCGGAGTTCACTTCTGCGTAAATTGCTTATTTTTTAAAAAAAATATAAAAAATAAAATACATGGAATTTCTTGCTTAATTCAATTGAATCTTGAACAATATAACAGCGTAGTTTACTCCAAAAGAAAATATCTAAAAAAAACTTTAGTGTGCACAGTTTTCAATTCAATGTTTTTCGCAAAAATTAATCTAGTTCCACCTACAAAGCTGTTTGGAAGTGCACTCGTGGTATGCTTTGTTCCTTTCCTTATAATGTATGTTTCTTTGAAATTAAATGAACTCAGCAGAAAATAAAAAAAGAAAATGATATTTCTATTCCAATGCTTAATAGGTGTGTGGTGTCTTATCACAAAAGACCTCGGTGCTATTAGTAGTGAAACCACTCATTATATATGCGATATTTTATTTTGTTAAGTTTCCGATGTAAGACTCTACATTCTTCAACAATAGATGCAGTAATACTGAATGAAATCCCCCAAACTACCAAAACAAATTGAAGGAATCTGGAGGGCAGTCAGTGTTATTGCTATCATTGTTGCAGTTGGGACCATCAATATGTAAGTAACCTTGTATCAAAGCACCAAGCTTATCGTCTCTGTCCAAAACTTATTTTTCAAACTTTCGTTTCTGTTTGATACATTCCAGCTTATTATGTAATATCTTTTTGCTGAAGTGTGATGAACCAACACCTCAGAACAATTAATGTGGGGCATGCAAGTGTTTACTAATGTGTTCCAATAGAAGACTAAATCTGAAAGGCAGATGCACATTCCAAGTGTGACATTGGTTACTCTCATCCCTTACTTGAATAGGACGAAAGCTTTCATGTTGTTGAAAAGCAAAGGCCCTTTACGTATTCAAAAAAGAAAAGCCAAAAAGGCCAACACTCTTAGCCCAACACCCCTCACTCCCACTAGCTAGCCATCTCTCGAATAGAAAATGTAGAAGAAGGCCTACACAATGCAGTTAGAGCATCCACAGTGGGGGTGTAAATTCGGGGGTGTAAAGCCACTTTTACATCCCCTTTACACCTCCGGAGGGTGTAAATATGTTTTTTGCTCCAGTGGGGGTGTAAATTCGGGGGTGTAGCCGTGGGTCCCAGCCTTTTATGTTGACTTTTCTTCATTTTTCTTCTCTTTTCTCGGGTGGGTCCCGCCTGCAAGGGATGTAAATATGGATGTAAATATACATTTTATTTTACATCCCCATGGTGGTGATGTATATTTACATCCATTTACATCTCACCATTGGAGACGATTCCGATGACTCGGGGTGTATATTTAACATACACCCCCATATACACCCCCCACTGTGGATGCTCTTACTTGCTTGAAAATGCATCAACCAGCTCACACTTGGAGTAAAGGTAACATCTGCTTTTATATTTACCACTTTTTCCCCCGCCCGAACTCCTTTAGAATGGCCTGAAAAATCTTTAAGACCACCAACACACACAGAACAGCGAACACGGATACCCGAGAGACTAAAATGTCTTCATTTCAGTGTTTCACTCTCTTCACCCTCTACTCTACCTTTTTCTATTCCGTGGATGGAATTGAGGTTAGGAAAATCATCAAATCCCAGCAAACCGAAAAAACAAGCCACCTCCACTTTTTCTTCCATGACATCCTTAGTGGCAAAAACCCTAGTGCTGTTAGAATTGCTGGGCCACTAAACAGTACCATTACCACCTTTGGTGCCACCATGATGATTAATGATGCGCTGACTGAAAAGCAAGAACCTACCTCAAAGATCGTTGGAAGGGCACAAGGGCTGTACTCAGTGGCTGCACAACGTGATCATGAGTTTGCACTGCTTGTGATCATGAATTTTGTGTTTGTGGAAGGAATATACAAGGGAAGTACGATTAGCATCCTTGGGCGGAATCCAGTGCTAAACAATGTGAGAGAGATGCCGATCATCGGAGGAACGGGGCTATTTAGGTTTGCTCGTGGCTATGCCTTAGCCCATACAGTTTGGTTTAATCCTACAGGAGACGCCATTGTTGAGTACAATGTTTTTGTGTCACACTTCTAGTAAAACTTTGCCTGGTGCTAGCCCAAGGACCGGCTTTTTATTGTTGGTGTTGTTACTATTATTATTTATCTTTCTAATTATACATTCATGTATTGCACTTAGGCCATGAACTCCACTTTTTCTTCCATGACATCCTATAGTGGCAAAAACCCCACCTCTGTTAGAATTATCGGGCCGCCAAAAGGCTCAAGTGCCGGATTTGGCAGTACTATGATGATTGATAATACACTGCACTGAAGAGCAAGACCCCAAATCCAAGACCATTGGAAGAGCACAAGGGTTTTACTCCATGGCTGCACAAATGATATTTCATTACTTATTGTCATCATGACTTTTGTTTTTTAGGAAGGCTACAAGGGAAGTACCATTAGCGTTTCTTGGGAGGAATCCAGTTCTGAACAATGTATTGTTGGCGGCAAGGGGCAGTTTAGGTTGGCTCCCGGTTATGTCTTAGCTCATACTGTTTGGTTTGATGCTAGTACAGGAGATGCCATTGTTGAGTACAATGTTTATGTGTCACACTCACGAAATTTGTTCTTACATTAGCCCCGGAGCCTGTTTTATTATTTATTATTTATTATTTTTAATCTTTCCTATACAGTCATGTATTGTACTTAGGCCAGGGATACTAAAATCATCTAGCTAGAAGAATTGTAATTTCTTTTCTGTTATGATGGGGTTTGTAGGATATGAAGAGAATATGTATTTCCAGTACTGCCTAAGCAGAGAAGATTTTACACTCTGTATTCACATTGATGTGGAATTGAATTCATATGAATCTTTTAACCCGAAATAAAATTGGATTCACCAAATTGTGGCAGTCTTCTGGAATTCGCTACCTCCATATTGTAGCTAGAAGAAATTGATATTGAAATTTATTCTCTTATGATGGATATTGGGGGATATGAGGAGCGGTTTGCACAGTAAAATTGCGGCTGTGAGGAATCCAAGCATCACCATATATTTGTACCAATCGGCCATCACCAATTCTCCATCGTAAGGAGCCGAGCCAATTCTCTATCCCACAGAATAGATAGCCAAGTATATGAAGGAGCCGAGCCAGCTTGGGCATTCAAGAAATCAAAAGTAGGGAAATACCTTGCTTTCACCATATGAGCTTCAAGTGAATTAGGAGATTCAAGCAAGCGCCATCCTTGTTTTGCCCACAGAGCTTTATTGAAACTGACTAACTCATGGAAGCTCAAACCGCCCTCTGACTTATGACGACACAAAGCTTTCCAATTTTTCCAATGAATTCCTCTCTCAGTGCCTTTAGACCACCAAAAGAGAGTAATAATACTTTCAATCTCATTGCAAATGGCAACCGGGAAGCTGAATACACTCATAGAATAAGTAGGCATGGCTTGGCAAACTGCCTTAACTAAACTTCCTTTCCAACTTTCGAAAGTAATCGACCTTCCCAACATGTAATCTTCTTCCATATGCAATCTTTAAGAGTATGAAACATCAGATTTTTTATTCTTTCCAGCAATGGTAGGGAGTCCCAAATATTTTTCGGGTTCCTAGGACAATAGGAACACCCAATATAGCTTGAATTTGGGCATGTGCTGCCAGCGACGTAGAAGGACTAAAACACATGGCTGATTTCTCCAGTTTAATCTGTTGACACCTGAAAGCATCCTCATAGATGCGGAATATACACTTTAACTTATCAACTTGAGTAGGCTCTGCATCACAAAACAACAAACTATCATCAAATGATTTAGAGAAGGTGCCGAAGCAGCAATTGAGACTCTCCTGATCTTAGAATTGAACTCAGCTTGGTGGAGAAGGGCAGAGAATCCCTCAGCCATGATAAGAAGTAAGTAGGGTGAAATTGGATCCCTTTGGCGCAAACCCTTGGACAGGATAAGCTTACCAAAAGGTCCCCTTGAAGTAACACCAAGTAAGAAGCTGTGGTAATACATCCCATAATAAAATTGACAAAACGAGCAGGAAAATCCATAGTATGCATCATGCGGTCTAGAAAGAACCATTTAACACGATCATAAGCTTTTGCCATATCCAGTTTCAACACAAGCTTTCCCCCTCCTGCTTTTCCCAGCCGCTTCAAATAATGAATAGTTTCAAATGCTGCTAGCACATTATCCAATATCATACGATCAGGAATAAGCACTCTGAAACTCCGAGATCACATGGGGCAAGGCCTTCTTCAATCTGTTGGCAACTGTCTTGGAGATAATCTTATAGAGCACAATACAAAGATCAATAGGACGGAATTCAGTAACTTGTGTCCGTGAAGCAATCTTCGGAATAAGAGCAATCAATGTATAGTTAAACCCCACAACACTATCACTACCATTTAGAACATTTAGACACAATTGGCAAACATCACTCCCCACAACATCCCAATCTTTTGGTAGAATAAAGAAGGCATCCCATCAGGACCAGGAGATTTGGTTGGAGCCATATACTACACACAATTAGTATGTCCATAATTTTTAAGAAATTTACAGTAGATGACACTATCATAAATGGAAGTCTATGAAAACACTTCCCTAAAATTCAGCATTTCCTTATTTTGTTGATATCCCTACTTATTGGAGAACACCCCATATATATATGCGTGTATGTGTTTCCTTATATATATATATATATATATATATATATATAATGTGGTTTCCTTATATATAATAAGAACCATCAAATTGAGTGGTCAAATTTAGGATTTAAGTGATTTTTTGCAGAGATGATCTTTGATGGAATATCTAGAAATTAGACGGTTCGAATCATTGAAATACAATGCATGGTGGGCCCTACAATGGTGTCTCTCAATTAAGCTTATTTGAGGGATCCCTCAACTGAAGCGCTCTCTCTCTCTCTCTCTCTCTCTCTCTCTCTCTCTCTCTCTCTCTCTCTATATATATATATATATATATCAAGCATAACTCTTTCTGGAATTGGACAAATTATAAATAAATACGTAACTAGTGTGTTATATTATTTATGTTTCAAGAAGGGCAATAGGTTTTGGTTATGTTATATCTTCTAGAATAGAACTAGAATGACAAATTTTACCATACATATCATATAAATAGAAGCATGATAGTCATAAATGTAATAGACCGCTCATAATTCAAACCTGGAAGATACATCACTTCTCTGATGAATTTTCTGCCTCTATTTGCGTCCATAACGAGTGAACCCATACCAGCTACATCCACAAGTGCACCTATTGGCATTTGAACCTTTCTTGCAATATTTGTCCTTATATCAACAAGGAGCTCCACATTTCCAGCCATGTGATTGCTACAACCACTGTCAATGTACCACTCTCCATTTATCTTTGCCTAAGTTATTGCACTATTTGCATAGAATAAGTTCCCTGTCACCTCCATTTGGCTAGCACAGTTTGCCTTCGGAACTGCCTTACCTGAAGTACATTCTCTAGCCAAGTGACCAAATCTATCACAGTTATAGCACTTAGGCTTCCCCTTATATCTGCACTCACCAAAATGAAACTTGGAGCACACTTTACACTGAGGTTTTATAACTTCTTGACTCATTGACTGTGACAAGTTCAAGTTTTGTGCTGAGCTAGTATGTTGAAACTTGGGTTCTGATTCCCATTGTTTACCCTTAGGATTCCAATTCTTCTAAAATTTGGATGAACCAGATTGAGCACCACCCTTGTTATGCCCTTTTGGACTCACAGAGAATGAGGCAAATGCTTTCTCAGCTGTATTAACACTATGCAAATCGAACTATTATTCTTGGCTTTTCAAAATATCAATCACTTCCTGCAATTTTACAATAGGCTCTTTGTGTTTTCAATCACAAGACATATAGGATTATATGCTTTACTGAGACTAATCAAAACCTTTTGAACAAGTCTCTCATTTGAAAGAATCTCACCAAATGTTTTCATCAGATTAATCAACTCATTCAATCGTGTAAGATAAAGAGATAGAGGCTCATTAATTATCACGCATTCTAGTGTATTCAAATTCACGTTTGAGATTTAGAAGTTTTACCAATCTAACTTGGTCACCACCATGATATTCTCCCATGCCATTTTAGCTGAGTCTGCGTTGGCGATACGAGGGAAGATTTGATCGGAAACTGCGTTTTGTATGATACCCAGAGCTTTTGCATCTTTTATGAAGATTGCAACCATTTTCTCATCAACCTCATCTTCTAAAGCTTCCCCAGCTTTCTTTTTCTTCTCCAAATCAGGAATCGTAATTCCCTTTTCCACCAGATTCCATAAACCATATGATTTGAATATGGTTACCATTTTGATTCTCCCTGACTCATAGTTCTCACCGAAGAAGATCAGAGTTTTCACTTCTGAACTTCCAGATCCAGCCATTTATGAGCTCAGATAAACCAAAAACAAGTTGTTTCAGGTCAAAATCGAGATCCAGCAACCTTCACCAAACCTTGAGTGAGCTTCGATATAGCTCGATTTCAGAGTCTTAAGAACGCCCTGATTCAAGTGATCTAACCTGGCTCTGAGGCCATGTTAGTGTTTCTTGTATGATTCTGGTTTCTATGGAATCTCAATGCATATATGAGAAAGATGATGAAGAAAGAAAGAGAAAGAAACGAAAGTGTCAGAGAATGAAATGTTCTCTCACTGCTCTGCAGAATACAGCAGAGGAATTTTACTTCTTCATATCATGACCACCTCACATGCATAGAGCGAGGCATATTACCGTTAGCACTCTTAGCTGGATCCCTTACATCACAAAATGATCTCAACCATACATCTAGCTATCGACTAGGATCATTAGACATGGCATTGTATGCCTTACAAATCTTAGCTTCACACTTGGCAATAACAAAACTCACGTGAATACCCAATTAAGCTCATAGCTTATTTCACTAATTCTAATCAGCTAGAGACTTATAATTCAACAAGTTCAAAGCTTGTGGGTAGAGCTCAAGGCATATATACTTTTCCTTCTCAACACGGCTCTGTGCTGCTTATGGTCTTGAACTTTGCTTTCTTAGACGGTGTGCACAATGGCAGTGCCCTTAGCATTCTAGGTAGGAATCCATTTTTTCAAGGGACCCGAGAGATGCCAATCGTCGGAGGTACTGGGGTTTTCCGGTATGCAAGGGGCTATGCATTGGTGAAGACAGTTTCCTTGTGTGTAAAAACTGGAGATGCTTGCGGCTGTCAAATACAATGTGTCTGTGTTGCACTACTGAAAAGGGTAATGCTATTTGCATCATCATGTGGGCGAGAGATGTGGTCAGTAAAAGTGGTACAAATAGGTTTTTTGTTACCGATAATATCATGCCGCATTTGTTGCTTTTTCTTTATTAGTTGCGTTGCCTTCCATGATTACATCAGTCTATTCTCTGTTGATTGATTTAGCATAACTTGCATAGCATTGAGTGTGATATTCGGCTACTTAAAAGTACTGTTTCTCTTCTTACCACCAGTTGTCTAAGCAACCAAACTGATGTAAACTTAGAGCACTGCACATTACCGGAAAGGAAAAAAGGTCCTGCCGTCTCACATGCAATTGAGACCAGTAATGAATGCAATTCGAAATCAGAAAATAACTTTGAAGTGTAATGTCATGTTTAACTTTGAAGAATCCATAGAACAGGGTTCAAACCCAAATATGGCAGAAACATCAGCGTTTATGTGGGAAGAAAACTAAAATAGGATACAAATTAACAACTAACTAAAGTTTTAGAACAGAGAATAATTCTCCCAAGCTTCTGAGGAAGATACTATGCAGTTGCAGAGGAAGAAATGCATAAAATCCTTTACACAAACAAGAAAAGGAAAATTAAGAAAGAAAAAAACAAAAACGAAAGCACTCAATCCCCACATGGACCACGATCATCACTCGTATCTCCTAAACCTCCAGGCCGATATTGAAAAAAGAGGCCTGTCATGCCAACAAATAACTAAACATCCATTTTCTTCTTTAATCTTAAACCCTTCATAGCCCTGCAACTGCCTCCTAGCCTGTAACATTCCGTGGTAGCTTAAAGGGACCCTGCCAAACCCAGCCAACTCAAGCCTTAAAATCCACTTCTCAAGCTTCTCATGCCTCTCTGTTCTCTCGGTTCCTTCACATGCTATGATGTTTTTTATTTCCTCCCCGAAAAGCATCTTCTCAACCTTTTGTCGCTCCATTGGTGATCTCGGTACTGTAGACTCCAAGCAATCAAAAAGCGCTCCATAAAAGTTCAATGCTTCCATGATCCTGTCCATTAATGTATGGCCATTGTGGTTTGATTCTTGCTCGGTGATCACCATTAGCTTTGGTGAAAGGCCCCAAAGAGAAGTTAAAAAACTCCCCATCTTTGGTGAACCACTTGATAGTGGGGACAATGCAGAATCAGGACTTAGGTTATATGCACTGATTGGATCTTTCTCCAGCCACTCTCCTAAAGTGAGTTTATTCATATGCAAGACTTTCTGCAGGTTCTTAGATGCTAATGGTGATTTTCTCCTAAGATCATCATCAGCTGCCAAGAGAGAATGTAGCTGCAATACAGAGCAAACTGCAAGAGCCTCTCCAGTCTTGACACGCAAACTTTCGATATCAAGGTTCTCTAACTTGCTAACTATAGGATTGAACTGAAACGAGATGTTCAGATTTCCCGCTTCTTCAGTCAAGCGATGGAACATTTGGTCTAATACCTCTTTCTGTTCGTGAATGCCCGTAATTCTCAAATGAGGCGGGCCTTCAGGTCGAGCATTTAATGTCTGAATCAGATAAATCCATTGGGCAGGCTCACATGAATGAAGATCAATAATATGAACCATCTTTTCTCCTTCCATGGCTTCCACTATGGCCTGATTTGTAACCACATACGCAACCTTCAAGAAAGGACATAGATCACAGAAGAGCCTTTTAACGAGAATTTCTTCTGAGACTGATGTTATTTTCGTTGAGTTAAGGGCTTTATACAGACCAGGCCAAGCTTTAAGCATCCGGTCTGCAAGTGCCTCATTGAAATAAGCAGCTATTCGCTGCATTGTATCGCCATCAGGAGAGGCTAGCTGAGAAATATGGTCAAGCCAAATATTTGCATTCTCAATGCTACCAGAAGCGACATGGTTAGCACAGGAATAAAGAAGCTGGATCAGATATAAACCTCTCTCTTCAGATTTTAGCTCCCTGAGCCATGTTGGGTATGGTGATCCCATTCCAGGAGATAGCCAGGGAAAGAACTGCAGGGGTGATGAAGTTACTGGGGACCCGTCCTCTTGCGCCATTCTTTCAATTAACAACAAAAACAATTAGGGGATGCTGAAGATCAGATTGCCAGAAATGTTTCAAAACAGAAAGAATTAGACCAAAAGGAAAGCAGCTGAGAAAAAATAATAATAATTAAGTCTGCCTTTTTTAATATTATTTTCTACTGGTTTGGTTTCCCAAATATAAAGGACTTCGATTTCAACTGAAATTTCTCCATATCCAGACAGACCTTATTTTGGTATCTAATAACGCATAAATAGCAAGGTCAAGAAACAGGCAAGAAGATCAGAGAACACATAATCAAAATTACCCAGGGATCCCAGTAAGGGTCAACTGACCTTGTGGTTTCTAAGAAACAGAGCACAGCAGAAGATTAAAAATACAATATTTGATTCTTGTTCTTGCAAATGATTCCATTGTTAACAAAACTAACAAATTCATTATAGCTGAGCCACATGGAGCCAATACATTATAGCTCAGCAATGAAATTTTCTGGGAATTTAACAAGTACAAATGTCTACTATAAACAAAACAATTTACCTCTTTAACAACATCAAAACAAATGAACAACTGGGTTTTTGTACTAATTTCCAAGAACACATCAAAACCGAGGAATCAAAATAATGACACAGAGATAAAGAATTACCTGAGAAAGTTACTAGTTCCTCCGAAAAATAACCGACCAAGTTCAAACGAAATTGAAATTCCTCACTGGGTTTTCAAATTGACAGAAAACCCAGCAAAGTTCCTGCGGAAGTTTCCTCAATTGGTTGGCTCGACCTCCTACTCCATCAAAGCGAGTCAAGAACTCCAAAGGGTTTCATGTGATGTGAAGTTTTGTTGCAAAGTGAGTGAAATAGTAATAAAGGTCTCGTTTTGAAGGACTTTTCCATGGCTGCGTTGGCGACAATACAAGAGGCTGCTTTTGTCGTCATTGCTTTGTTTTGTGTGTCCTTTGAGTGTGTTCAGAGGAATATGGAATTAGTGAAATACAGGGCCAGCCCTCTCTCTCTCTCTCTAGATTTTCTCTCTATCTTAATTGTTTGCTTTGTTGCTTTGTTTCCCTCTCTCTCTCTCAGTTGATTTTTGTCAACATGTGAAGTGGATGGGAATAAGAGCTGGCCAAGTTTTGGTACTATTCTCCAACACAATGCCCTTCCAAACATGTCCTAACAAAACAAAACAACAACCTTCCTTGTTGCTTAGTGGGTAATAGAGGGAATTGCAAGGGAGAGCCTTGCAAGTGCCTCCAAAACTTGTATTTGGATTCTTTCAAAGGCATAGACAATCCACTTGGTACTTTCTTCTAACATTAAGACAAAGAGACAAGGAAATTATAGGAAAAGCCAAAAGTGGATAGAACATTTAACTTTTGGTGCGGAGTCTTGGGTGGGAGAATATCATATGGCCCCATTCCGTGTGTATTTCCCTTTTTTTACCCTAGGGACTAGCACATTCCCTCAAAAAACTTTTCTTTGGTATAAATAACGGATGTGAGAACGGAATTTATAGTTTAAGTGGTTCAAATTATTTACTTCTGTACCCGAAGTCCTACATTCGATTCTCTCCTCCCCAATATTACCTATATCAAAAAAGAAAAAACGAATTAATGTGATATGAAATTAAACCCCACTTTAAACCAGCTAATCAGCATTAATTAGTGATATACCACATTATTGCACCTAGTATGTTTGAGAGTATATCGATGCGTCATGAGAATTCTACACATGTTGATGGCCTGAAAAGTAAGGGTGGGCATCAATCCGGCCAAATCTATGAAACAGGTCGAACCAAATCATAATTACCGGTTTGGTTTGGTTTTGACAAAGAAAAAGTCAAACAATTTAAAAACCAAACCGGACTGTTTATGTGTATATTTATTTATTTATATTTTATTTTACATGTGTAATACTCTAATTAGTTAATAACTATATATGAATATTTGAATTGAGCTTTATTAGTCAGTGAAATATGAAGTTTTATGACATTTTGAGCTTTAGGATGGTTTCGTACTCTAGAAAATGATTTATGTATGAAGTAAGTTGTGAATTTGTTGGTTAAAATTAGGCTAACAATGTTGAAAAAATGCAAAAAGAAAGAGAATTGGGCTTAGGCCCAAACCGGCCGAACCAAACCGAACCAAATCGTATTAAATTAGTTTGGTTTGGTTCGGTTTCCTATATAACTTTTATCCAAATCGAACCAAACCAAACCGTCATATTATAATTGGTTTGGCTGTGATTTTGAAGTGAAACTGATCCAATCCGGACCGTGCCCACCCCTACTGAAACGTGGTTGGACTACTACAATTAAATTTAATGGACAATAATAATACAAATAAATATATATATATATAGCTTCATTTAGTGGTAAATGATTAGAATAGGTTGAGGGTAGGCCTCGTCAATGGGCAGGGCCGAATGGGCTTGGGCTGGGCTGGGCTGGACTGGGCTTCAAAGAGGAGAGAGAAAATAACGGGCAGCGTCGGGCCTTGTTTTTTTAGAAAATTTAAAGCCCAAGCCCATCCCATGAGCCGAGCTTGAAAAAGCCCATAGGGCCGGGCCGGGTTAAGCCCAACTGGCCGAGCCTAAATGGGCCTACTTTATTTTGTCTTTTTTTTATATATGGATTTGTTTTGTCAATTCTTTATTTATTTTTTCTATATTTTGGCGTGTTTCTATGTTTCCATTTTTTACATAGTTCTCTATTTACATTTGTCTATATGTTTATGTCTCCATTTTTTTCTTTGTTCATAACTTCATAGTTCTCCTTCTTTTTTTTCTTCATAAATATAAAGATATAGTTATATAACTGCCATATTAATAAACTCATATTTTATCCCATACGTCATTTTTTTTTTAGTTCTTACAATGATAATAGATAATGATTTCCTCCATCTTTCATTTAACTTGAGTTTTTTTTATATATATTTATTTATATGTATGTGAGCATGTGGGCCAGGCCAAGCCTATGGGCTGGGTCGGACTTTAGATGCCTAAGCCCAAGCCTGGCCCACTCAACAATGGGTCGGGTCGGGCCGGGCTTTTTCTCGATCTATCGGGCAAGCCTCTATCAGCCCATGGGCTTGCTGGCCTAACGATGACCCCTATTTATGGGCCTCATACTCCTCGTTGTTCAAAAATACTTTGTGGCACTTTTTTTTCTGGCACTGTGGGTACAAGTCCTCCCACCTTGGATGGACCTTGTCCATATGTTTGTCCAAAGCACTTTGATCAGTGAAGACCTTTGCATGGTCATACCCATTCTTGTGCACACATAATTTGCGTCTCTTGCGATTGTCTGATGCCCTCAGCCCCTGCACCTCAGGTGCGTGCTTGTGACGTTTAATCAAGTGAGCTAGTTCTTCTTGAGAATTGTTTGTACCGTATCTGACCCTCCACTCGTACAACGACACGTGGATCTTAGAAACTCGCCCAAATACCCATGGCCTTGGACAATCGGCATCGGCCACCGATGGCATTGTCTCAAAGCTGCGAACAGGCATTACAGGCCCAGCTCGTCTACAATCGGCATCCCTTACCGATTGTACAGAATCAACCTCGAAGTATCCGCCCAAAATATCTAAAGACTCGTGTCGACCTCAGAGGGCCCTCCCACGAGTCCCACATCGAAAATGAGTACTAAGAGCATACAAAATGCCCTCTATAAATAAGCCCCTCCACTACAATACAGGGGTAAGACTTTTCAGCTTGACTTCTATACTTTTATATGGTCAACAACAAGAGCTCTTATAAACAATCTTACTTGAGCATCGGAGGGTCTTAGGCTGGTTCCATACCGATTCCATAGACCTCACGAACCTCAAACTCTCTTCTATTCAGGATCTGCATCCAAGGACAAGAAGGATCTGCATCTATCACTCAATCGATCTGCTAGATCGTCCTCATCACTTGTAAGTTGCACTCATCTCTATCTGTTCAGATTTAGCACCAACAGATTGGCGCCGTCTGTGGGAATCGCTTATCGATTAACCCATATCTCAAAAGCTCTGAGACTAAAAAATGAATCCATCTTCGGTCCTCCCTTCCGATGGCCCTATCCTCGGCCTCGGCGGTGAGCCAAGTCTAGCTCCCTTTCTTCAGACACCACAAACAGAAACACCTGCTTGACCGGCCACCCTGGAGGCTCGTATGGAGACCCTACAGCAGGATATGGCAAGAATGCAGGAGCACAACAATATTCTGGCCTCTAAACTGGATGACACCCAGAGGCAGCTGCATCATCAACAAACATTCTCCGCCCAGTTGCAGAACGATCGGGAACCAACCACACAGCTTCGGCAGGAGAAATCGTTTAAAAGCGTACGGAAGCCCACTGTCCAGGATAGAGGGAAGCAGCAGGCCGCACACGAACCGACTGTCTCCCGAAGGGTGTTCGTGCCCACTCCAAAGGAGCGCCATCCCGAATATCGAGTTTATTCCGATTGCCGCGATAGGATCAATAATCGGCGGAGGGAACGGCAGTCCTCACCCATCCAGGTCCGGGCGAAGCTCGACGATCCACGCCTGGAGGCACTTGGACCAAAATCCCCCATACGCCAAAGGTACAGTACGAT